GAGAGAAAAGAAGGAAACGAAGATACTGAGTTATCCCAGAGGGCATTCCTGTGTTAGTCATCGTATGAAAATTATATGTAGCCCAGAATATCTATTTTTAGAGGCCAGGAGGTTATGTGAAGCAGTTCAGATGTCGGCAAAGACCCAGAGGCTGGCTCCCAGCGATGATATTGGATATTTAGAAGTTTGTTTTCTTTATTTTAACTGTGCAGAGCTGGTACTGCCCACATGGCCGTGCTGGCCACTTGGGGCGGGGAGACAAGACCCATATGCTTCTTCAAAGACATCCAAGGCCCTGGTGATTCTTTTGTGTTATTTTTGTGCATCTTCTAGGCCTGGGCAACACACATGCACACACACCCGAGTTTATAATGCACATTCTCTGATGTAACACCCGCTAGAGGCCTGTTTCGGGAGGGGCAAGGGTGGCCCCACCTCTCACACAATTGCAATTCAACTTTTATTTAAGGCCCGAAAGAGCAGAAGAGACCTCCCCATCTTTCCTAATAATCTGATTAGGATTCTTTGTTTCAACTGTTCCTCACTAGTTAAGTCTCATCTGGGTTTATAGAGGCCAGACAATCTGTGGCTTCTCGCTGGAGCCGAGCACCCTCGATTTGGCTTCTGAGCAGTTGAAAACCTATGGGGTTGCATGATTCAAGCGGCAACAAACACAGGCTTCTGTCCCCTGCACAATCTGTTCTGTGTCCAATTACTTGATTCAGTGGAACTCTGACCAGAGCGGCCTCTCAAGGCTCACGTCTCTTACTTGCTCAGAAGACTCATCTTTAGGTGGTTGGGGCTGGTGCAGGCGACAGTGTGGAGCACGGTGGTCACACATCCACACCCCCCACCCCTTTCTCTCAAAAGCAGAGGCAGGTCCGTTTCTACCCCGCACGCTGGGTCCAAGTCGTCGGAGCCCCCCGGGCGCTGGCGGAGGCCAGGCAGCCTGCGATGCTGCTCTCTGTACCCCCTGGGTGGCTTTGCCAGGTTTAGCCACTGAAATCTCAAGGTGCCCCGTTCCCTTTGAATTTCAGATAAATGACAAGTCTGTGTTTAGTGTAAGTAGGTTCTACGCAGTATTGGGACCCACTCATACTAATACATGTTCATTGTTTATCTGAAATTCAGATCGAACTGCGCATCCCCTGTGCTGGGACACCTCCAGCCCATCCGAGCCCCTTCTCAGGGCTCTTAGGAAACGGAGTGGCACATCACATCCCTTAGACCCCACTGGTGCTGATTGCCTTGTCCTTACAAGTACCTAAAGGTTCCCTGGCCTGGGAAATGGCTCCCAGGACACGTTTAGAGGAGAGAGAGGCAGCAGACGGGGACCGTTCAGTCCACTCCTCTGCCCTCCTTTTATTTAATGTTTTGCAGGTGGGGACACCTGGCCATTACCCTAAATGCTCAAGCGGAGCAGTTTGTGATGCTAACAGCCCTGCAGCCAGAGGATTTCAGCGCCTTGTTATGGGACCTGTTCTTCATCTAGAGTGTTGAGTGTTATGCTTCAACTCCGTTGATCCTCCAAACACTGAATGAGGCAGGAAGTTTAGCAAAACAGATCTCAGAAAGTTGTGACTCTACCCAGAGCATTAGCTGACTACCAGAGGGATGGGTCTTGTGCAAACTTCTTGGGTTTCTCTTCCACCATGCCTCTCCACTCCTAGCTCTGTTTCCTTACAGACACAGTACTTGGCTGGGTCCTGCATTGTTTCTGGCTTCGGGGAAATGGCTCAAGGTGTCAACTGTCATTTTTTTCCTCCCCTAATCCCCCCATTTTACTATCTCCATGATAGTTATGCAAGGATATCGCCATAACTAATTCTGAAAGGAGACAGTAAACCACTGCTAAGTCACTTCAGTCGTCTCTGACTCTGTGCGACCCCATAGATGGCAGCCCACCAGGCTCCCCCATCCCTGGGATTCTCCAGGCAAGAATACTGGAGTGGGTTGCCATTTCCTTCTCTATTGCATGAAAGTGAAAAATGAAAGGGAAGTCTCTCAGTTGTGTCTGACTCTTAGCGACCCCATGGACTGCAGCACCAGGCTCCTCCATCCATGGGATTTTCCAGGCAAGAGTACTGGAGTGGGGTGCCATTGCCTTCTCAGTAAACCACAATTGATCATTAATTTCTTTTATTGATTATTATTATTATTATTTATTTATGCTAAAGGAAGTTTATGAAATTCAGAAAGACACAAGATGAAAATAATAATCACTCCATTATACTCAGTAATGAGAGAACATTGGGGTCTTTATGGTTGTATCTGCTCTTCTGAGGCACACCTGAACATGTGTGTCCATTCTTAATTGTGTAAGTGCCTAGAAATGTGCTTTATAAAATTTAAAATATCCTTAAATCTTTCATCTGGATTTTCCCTTAGCATACATACTCCATATGCATTTTCAAGGGCATTTAAATGGTCTTGGAGAAAATGGGGTTGAAACATTGCCCAACTCATGCATCTGTTGCCTTTCATGTCCTCAGAGGTCTCTGAATTTTCAGTAAACCCTTTAGGGCCCTGTAGTGATGGGACAGCCAAGTAGAAAAGGCTCTGGATGGTTGAAGAGGAGTGTCCACTCCCTGGCACTTTGAACTGCTCGTGAGACCTCAGGAAGCCACCTCACTATCTGCGTCCCAGTGTCCCCAGATGAGGAGCAGGGACATGCCATGTGTCCTTCCTCAAGCCGGGTGGAGTGCAGAGACTAACAGGGCCACCACGGAAAGCGTTTGGGATGTCTTTGAGGTTGGATGCTCCATTAATACACAGCATTGTTAACCTGCTGTTTGGGAACCACTTGTGGGCCCAAATATTATTCTAGCGATTTGAGAGGAAATGTGTCTCCTGATGCTTGATGAACCTAATGTGCATCGTCCCTTGTTTGAAATAATGTTAAAATAGCTTCACTGAGCACTTGGTATCCACACACCCATGTGTACATTCACCCAGCGTCTACTGTAGGTACCTCCCACCCCTCTCACCGTCAGGCACTGTGCTGGGCGCTTGTACCGACATGATACCATGTGACCCTTCCAGAAACACCCTCTGAGTATTGCTGTTGTTATTGTAATTATTAATGCTCCTTTACAGAACTACTTTTAAGTAAATAGGCTCACAGAGGGTTGCTTAAAATAGTGCATAAAGTTTTGAGTACCCTCACCAAACTCTCCCTAATGGTGAATGAATTAATCTTCCTTCCTTCCTTTCTCTCTTTCCTTTATTCCCTCCTTTCCTCCCTTTTTTTCCTTTCTTTTTTAAACACAAGGAAGCTGATATTCAAGATACCTTAGACGCTTTCTTAAGTGAAAAAAATCAGGATAAAGTATTCAGAGTGAAAGTGTTAGTCGCTCAGTCCTATTTGACTCTTTGTGACCCCATGAACCACAGCCCACCAGGCTCCTCTGTCCGTGGAATTCTCCAGGCAAGAATACTGGAGTGGGTTGCCATGCCCTCTTCCAGAGGATCCTCTCAACCCAGGGATCAAATGCAGGTCTCCTGCGTTGCCAGCGGATTCTTTACCATCTGAGCCACCAGGAAAGCCCAAGAATACTGAAGTGGGTGAGCCTATCGCTCCTCCATGGGATCTTCCCCAACCCGGGGATTGAACCTGCGTCTCCCACATTGCTGGCAGGGAAGTCCTTAAATATTCAAAGACATTATTAGTTTTATAAAGTGTGTTCCTAGGCACCTATGCAGATACAAATGGACACACATACTTATATATGCCTCAGAAACAGACACAAAAACACAAAATGTTCATTTTTTTTAGTTAAAAAGAGTCCACCTGAGTGGTTGTGACTTTAATCTGTATGTTTGCCTCTGTGTCTTTGTGTTTTCACCTCTGTGTTCCTGCCCACCTAGAGGAGCGTGGAGGCTTGGGTCTACTCATTCCAATCCTAATTCAGACGAATGCCCTTCCCACCTTTGGCTCGGCGGGGAAGGTGTGCCCGATGAGCGGGAGCCCAGGTGGAGTTTGAACTCTCTTGATCTGCAGCCAGGGTGTCCAGTCATCTCCCTCCCACCCCTCACCCCGCCTCAGGAGGCCCCTGATGGGGTAGTTGAGTGCTCGGGTGATTTCATTCTCAGCAAGGGGAAGAACTGGGGTTGGCTCACGAAGACTATAGGTGGGAACGAAAATAGAAACTCCTGACAGCTTGATTTCCCTTTTGCTGGCACCAGGCTCAGATCAGCAGAGCTGGAGGAGAGCCTGCAAATGTACAAACGCAGGGCAGTCCTGCCTCGGGTCTTCAACCACCTCAGCAGGGCTGCATTGAAGGCACGTTACTGCAGGCAGGCAGCCCCGAGAAACCACTGCATTTCTGAGAATCCCCGGGTAGTTAGCAGTTGTAAATAAAGGAGCTGGGGACAGCCAGTTTCATTTTCTGAGTTTTGGATTATACTGTCAGAAATGCATATGAGCATATGTATCCAATAACAGCACTAATGTAGTGGGAAGCTCTCCCCCAGCTTCTTCCGTCTTTGCCTCTTTGCTGCCTTCAAATTGATATCTCAGAGCCTTAAGTCAAACTATGTTTTATTAAGAGAATGGGTTATTTGAGATACGGTTGTGACATTTACCAGGGCTGGGCCCAGCTGTAGTTCTGCCAAGATCCTTCATGCCAAATCTGAATTTCAGTGCGGAGAGAGCCCTGCTCTGCTCCGTTTTGCTTGGCTTGGATGATTCCGTTCAGTTCCTACCCAAGTGGCAGGGGTTTTTCCTGCCAAGAGCAGGATGATTTCCCGGCCACTGGGACAGTGTCTGTTGATAGCGTGGGTGGTTCACAGAAGCTCGAGGCATCCAACTGCATGAGCTTGGCTGTCTTTTCCACGAATGGGATTCCAGAAAATCACAACACCGTTGCTCCTGGGACTGCCGTGAGGTGGAGCAAGAGGCTGCTGGCACCTTGGACTTGGACATGGCCAAGGAGCCCAAGGGGGCCGAGAAAAACTTTTGGAATACAAGACCCCTGACAACTTGAACCGAATCCTTGAATTCACATTTTGAAACCATTGCCTTCTTTCTCGCTGGTCCCAAACCAACACGTCGCTGGCGCCATCTTACCAAGAAGATATTTCTCAGGAGGCTGTCTCAGATCTTCTGATAGCTTCTCTTTTTCAAACTGCTGTTGGATGCCCGCCCCCGCCTCCCCCTCCTGCACCCCGCCCATAACCATCTCTTGGATATGGTCTTGAGAGCTGTGAGATGAAGTGCTAAGACCTACATTAGTGTGGGAGCACACACATCTCCTGGAACCCCATCAGGGTGGAGCATGCAGGTCTGCTGGGAGTTGACCAGGGTGGATGCACCCCAGACTCTCCTGTTCAATGAGGTCACCAAATATTGGCAGTTAGCAAGGGCATTTGGCAAGCATTCAGTCTCCTTTCTTTTCCCTAGTGGAACTCTATCCTCTGGGTCTAGAGAAAGGGAAATATTTACAAGAGCTTCCAACACGAGATGCCATAAAGCTGAATGAGTTCCTTTGTCTGAGGAGCCGATTGCTCTCTTCTTGAGGTTATTTCGATTCCACTTAGGCAAGGTAAAAAAGCCAGCTTAGAGTTATATTTGGAGACAATGAAGCAAATGAAACTTCATATCAAAGAAACCAGCCAGTTCTGAGATTTTGTGGGCAATTGTATTTGAGGGGGGAGAGCTTTGGGGACCAAAACCAAAGCGAGTGTCTCTAGACCAGATCCAAAAATATGGTCTCTCACTGGAAACAGGCAAGTTTACTCAACCACAAATGACACACGGCCATTTCCAACTGAATGGGGCCAGGTTCCCCTGCCGCTGATGTGTTGAAGTTGGCTTGTGCTGGCTCACAAGGGCCCATTGTTAAATTTTCAGAAATTTTGTGAGTGAGTTGTGATACACAGCCACGATTAAAAATTGAATCGTGTAGAAACTTACTGTCAAATTCTATTTTTGAAAAGGTACCGAGTACTCAGAAACTATGCCTTCCTGGTTCTCTTCCTGTGTTATACTGTCATCTCTTCTTTTGTTAGAATCTGCATCTGCTGCTCTGTAGATCGGGTACTACTGTACATGCCTTCCCAGCCCCGTGCTCGGTGACGTCACGGCCATGCTGGGCTTGTGTCCATCATAGAAGTAAGCAAATGCCACAAATAGTCAGCTCCCCAGTTTTCGTCTGGGAGTTGCTGTTTCATTACTAAATCGTGTCCAACTCTTCACGACCCCATGGACTATGTCCCGCCAGGCTCTTCTGTCCATGGGATTTCCCAGGCAAGAATACTGGAGTGGGTTGCCATTTCCTTCTCCAGGGGATCTTCCTGACCCAGGGATTGAACCCGTATCTCCTGCATTGGCAGGCGGGTTCTTTACCACTGAACCACCCAGAAAGCCCTTGTCTGAGAGAGCCCATGGTGAAACATTCACCAGCATACCACCACCCTACAGGACCCACCTCCCAATATTTAAAACCAGGAGCTGGTCCTCCCGAGTCAGGGAGATGCGTGTCTGGGCAAATGTCTGTGGCCGTCTGTCTGAGCCTGCCGTTAGTAGGGTCTATTCACACCTGAGTCAAGAGACAAGGAGATGGTGGTTCATGAGGTCAAACGGCGTTAACTCTCACAGTCTGTCATTTGGCTTTCACTAGTGAATTAAGAGCCTTTCGTGATGTTTTGTTACTATCACACAGACACCTGGCACTTTCAGACAAGGAAGTTGATTTTCTCCTGTATCTTCAACAATCCTCTTTCAAGGGTACGAATGTTCATAACTTCCTTGCCTCTCTTGGTTCATAGCCTTCTCTGTGAAATCTGGTTACTGCGGGAAAAGACATTGACTCCCAAACATGATGGTTTTGTGACAAGTATATTGATCTTTTCTATAATATCATTTGTAGATGTCCTCATTATATGGGAGAAAAAAAAACAAAACCCTTGGGCAGGTTTAAAACCAGACATCATTTTTTGGTTGAAATGAAAGGAACTCAGATATACATCATCAAAAATTGTTAGCAAAGAAGAGTAGTAGCCTAAATTGAATAATTAATTTTTCAATTTTAAGGGGATTTGAAAAGTTTACTAGGATCTTTTTTTTCCTTTTTCCTCTCTCCTGGAGTAATCTAGTTTTCCTTTATCTGGCTTGCCCTTCCTAAATTGATCATATTGCTGTCAATATTTGGAGACAGATTTAAAAAAAAAAAAAGATCCAATGCACTATGTCTTTATTTGCTCCTCCAATTCCAGTTGGACCCCTCTGAGTGCATGACCGTGGACAGAGCTACATTTTAATTTCTGTAGTCTTGCCAAGTCAGAATGGGATTCACTGTTCTCAACGTCTCTGGACTATCACTTTCCCCAAAACATCCATCCTGGCTATTGCAGGAGGCAGCGAAGCTCTGCATAGCTATTTATTTTAAGTGCCTGATTAAAATTTCATGAAAACAGGAAGTCAGGGGAAAAGAATAGATTGCAAGAGCGATGAAATCCGGGGCTTTGTAATTTTTAGCTCACAGAGAAAAAAAAAGCGTTAAATCGTAAGGAAGGTATATTTTCAGAATCGTGCTGTGGCCACTAATGGCATATTTTGTCACTGGCTGGGGAGCTGGTGAACTAAGAATGGGTCCAATTTTTTAAATCTTATTACACAGTTTTGCTCTCATTTAGAAGTTGTCACCTTAAAGTAACTTAATGCTGCTCTGCTTAGAGCAGACCTCATGCAGGCCCTCTGCGCGTACGCCGGTCACATTGTCTTCTATCTAAGCAGATATAAACGTTGTCCTGACAGAGTTGAACAGCACAGAATCTGTCTGCTCCCTAAGTTGATGTAGCCTAAGAACTTAATCTTATCTAATTCCCATATCCAATGGGATAGAGAATTCAGGGGAAAGAAAGTAATGACATATTTTTCGCCAGATGATAACTCAATGATTTCTATATTTGGTCAACGGAAAAACATCTCTCCTGAGAAGCATCCGTGTCGACAATGAGCTGTCGAGGAAATCAGCATTCAAACAGAAAAACCCATCACCGGACTAAAAACTGCAACACAGCCGCATGTGATTAGCAGGGAACGAACGACAAATAAAATGTTCCCGTCCCACTGCTGTTCCTGGAAATTCCAAAATCCTGGCCGACTGTTGGATAGCCCACTTCCACCTTTGGGATCTCCAGCTGAGCTCTCATTTAGCTGACCAGACAGGAATCACTGCAGCAGACTCACGGCTAGATAACGTTTGATGTGCCCGTCTCAAATAAATCCCCATCCGAAATACCGGCCCCACAGTCCAGTCTCAGAGGACGGCATAATCCTCATGAGAGATGGGTCAGAGAGGAGGGGGAAACCGAGCAAGAAGGTACAGCGTGGCCCCCAGCTAATGCAGCAAATTAACCGCCACCTCCCCCCCCACCCCACCCGAGGAAGGGTTAAACCCTTCAGATCTCTTTCTAAGCGTCCAGTCTGCCCATTGAAACTGACCTGAACAGGATCAGAGGGTTTATCAAGGAGGAAAAGCAGCTGGGGATGCTGACTGGCACAGCTGGGTGCCAGGGCGTCCGTTCAAAAGCTCCCCAAATCCCTCAGTGCCTGAGTGGGCATGAGGATGTCTGGGGAAATCCAGGCGTCTCCCAGATAGGTGTGTGTCTGTATTTATACTAGATGGCTGGAGGTCACTTCACCACTGATGCTCAGAGGGTCATCCCAGCCCTATTATTCCAGGGTGGGGAGCAAAAGAGGAAATAAACTACAGGAAACTCTTCAAGTCTCCTAAAAGTTGAAAAAATCAGTCATCTCATTGAGGCTGTCATTGGCCTAATGAATTCATTTCCACGGGGCTGACTCAGTCACAGGCTATGAGGATACGTGTTATTTGAGGGTGTTATCACTTGAACAGTATGTGGCATGGATGAGTCAGGCTCTGTGCCTCAGTTTCCACATCTGTACAATGAGGTTTCTAATATTTGTCAAGCCCATTATGCATCCCCTCTGTCACTACTGCCTCAAGAATTGGCTTTGCCTACCGTGAAATTCTCTGTTTACTTCTTGGTAAATCTCACTAGTGGAGAAGGCAATGGCACCCCACTCCATATACTCTTGCCTGGAGAATCCCATGGACAGAGGAGCCTGGTAGGCTGCAGTCCATGGGGTCGCTAAGAGTCGGACACGACTGAGCGACTTCACTTTCCCTTTTCCCTTTCATGCATTGGAGAAGGAAATGGCAACCCACTCCAGTGTTCTTGCCTGGAGAATTCCAGGGATGGGGGAGCCTGGTGGGCTGCCGTCTATGGGGTCACACAGTTGGACATGACTGAAGCGACTTAGCAGCAGCAGCAAACCTTACTAAACGTTCCAGGGAACTGGTGTTTCTTACTCACCAGTCTTGTCACTCAGTAACATGCCTGGCCACGGTAGACACTTAGTAGTCAATATTTGTAGAATCAGTGAATGAATGAATGCTTAAAGAGTGCTGTGAGAGTAGAAATAAGCAACATAGGCCAAGGTTCTTTTAAGACTTGGACATTCAGCATAACTTCGTCTTCTGTGCTGGGGTTTGGTCGCGTCCCCTTGTCTGCAGAGGGAGATGAATTCTCCCTGCCTGCCTTGGGAATGGCTTGCAGAAGGGTGCTCTCTCGTTAGCTGTGTTGGGAAATTCCTCTTAGAATGATGATGGCTGAAAGAGGAACAGTCAGTTGAATCAAATGAATGTTACTTTGGTTTGCCACATAGAAAGCCCACTCTAGTATCATGACAATATTACTATCAAACAATATTGACCAATGGATCAGGAAAAGCACAAGAAAAAAAAAAAAGGGAAATTACCTGGTTGTCCAGTGGTTAGGGCTCCGTGCTTCCACTGTGGGGAGGCGGGGGGTGGGTGGGCAGGTTCTATCCCTGGTCAAGGAACTAAGATCCCACATGCCCCATGGCATAGCCAGAAAACAATCAAAAACAAATAATTAGAGGCTAGAAGAGAAATCTTGAGAGTAGCATTTTTACAATGACTATGATACTATAATCATTCAGAAAACCCTCAAAATTGATTATTTTTCCATCATCCTGTCTGTCTCCCCGCACTGGGTAAGATTTTGAGGAGGAAGACATCACATCTGCTCTTTGGAATTTGGAAATCCAAACACGATGCTCCCAGGGAGGCATGCTACTCTGAGCTCTCTGACTGCATGATATTTATGAAGCAAGGGGCTCTAAGCCTTCCTGGTCTTAATCAAATTCAGCCTTACAACATCGGGCAGTATTAA